ACACACACACAAACACACCAACCACACACACACACACACACACACACCCCTACACACAGACAGTGTGCAACTGGGCCGTTATGGCACACGGGGATGTGGGCAGCTCGCACTCAGCCACAATCAATGTCGTGAGCCTTGTGCATGAGAGGCACGGTAAAAAGGGAGCTGCAAGAACAAATGAAAGGGGTACCCCGAAGATAGCAAATGTGAACACATTCAAGAAAGGGGTTTACATTCTTCTATCGTACTTCATGTTGCTTGCTATCGAGGTGAAACTGTTTCATTGTTGGGTTGTCTGAACTCAAGGGCTTTAGTTGTGTGTAATAGGATTAAATATGCTTTGATTTTGGATCTGTTCATCTGGGTGGAATAGGGGCTTTGTGAAAATTAAAAACACACACGCGAAGCACACAAATCCCCACCTGCTCTATGTCCAATTTTTGAGTTACTCAGCGAAACAACCTTTCCCAATCTGCAACTCGCTCAACATCTCACCGACCTTCAGTCTCGGACCTGCATAACAGGGCTTCTAATAAGCCTCTTGCAAGTACAATGATGGCCTCTCATTCACTTAGCTATGCTCTCCAACAATGGGCTTTATCAAGAAAGTGGTGTACGCCGTTGCTGGATCATGCAAAGTGCTGAGGAAGTCATTCTGGATCTCAAGCAGAATGCACATTCCCTTTGAGGCAGATGGGTCACACACAGTGGATTTTACAACAATGTACACTGGACGTTCCCTGTTATACGATGTCCCAGTGGCTCTTCCAATGCCCCCGCTCATCAGGCCACAGGTGTCTTCACAAGACAGCTTATGAGGTTCGAACATATCTATAATAATACTACTGACTTCAAAGCTGCAGGGACTTACCTTACAAGCCATATGCTTGTTAGGGCTCATCTTCCTAGTGTCCTGGCCAGAGGCTGGACTGCATATGTGCATGGCCGGCAGCGCCGGCTACCCACCTATGTCACACGACTTTCGAACTAGTTCCGCCGTATGGTGCTCACCCTGGGCGATTGCTCATCCACTACCGCATGCTAATTCTGCGCACAGGTCCTCCACACAGCCGCACCCAGCAGGCCACCACCGACACTCTAACACCAATCCTGACCACGGGAAGAAGCAGCATCAGCCCTCCTCACAATCAAATTCAGCGGGCCCGTCCTCTCCTCTCATTCCTGCTGAAATGGCAGATGCTAATGTGGATAAACCAACTCAGCGGGGACCATGCCAGACACAACAAATAGCATCAACATTGTTGTAATGGCTGCAGGGGATGAAGGCCTACTTCCTCCCAATACGACGACTGCTGCTGAAAGTGCACCGCCACTTCCCCCTCCACCACCACCGGCACCACCATCACCATGACCTCCCCCACCGACATCTCCTACTACATTATCCCCCCAGTCATCTGCCTATCCTTCTTCCTTATCCTCTTCTCCCTCTTCCTCTTCATCCTCCACCTCGCATGCCTCCCCCTGGCCATCGACCTCATCATCAGCATATTCATGGTCCGATCAGCCGTCACATAGGCCCCGTTGGCAGAGGCATCCAGCGTCGGATCAACCGTTACAGATGCCTCTTTGCGGGAGACATTCCCCAACTCCACCGCTGCCTCCAAGACAACGGCCGCATTTGTCCACTGAACAGCATGATTACCGCGCCCCCTACAGGGGTTAGAGATCTGCTCCGACGACATGCTGGCAACCGTACGGAACAACATCGTCGCTCTTAGTATACATTGGCCAGCAATAGTACACATCGAATCTTATGCCCGCAATGCGGCGATGATTTCTCCACTGTTGCAGGTCAGCATGTGCACCAGACTCGAGGTGCAGCTACCTGTGCCGCATTTGCACGGCCAGCAGCCATTCTAAGCACAAGTGTGGCTGATCGACCTCCGCTTTCTGCATCTGACCCGCCTATTCCTCATTCACCTAACCCTGCTCACCTTTTGATCACCTGATGGAGCCCCCGACTCGAGATGATCTCTCTCCGGAGTGTATGATCCAACGGAGTTAATACAATCGGAGAAACCTGACAAAAATGGTCAATATGTGCCCGCCGTGCAATCTGCCAATTGGATGAACCTCCCACTGCCGCACAACCTGCAGAATTGGTTGATATCATAGTGCTACAGTGAGGCTGGTGTGCCTGCGATGCCATTAATGTAAGTCTCCTTGCTTTCGATTGCAACCCTTATGTTGTTTCTGAATTTGCAGACGTTGTCTGCTGGATAGACGAAGAGCATCGTACTGTCTGCCTAGAGGACGACTTGCTGCTCAAAAATGGTGTCAAAGCACCGGTACATGCCAGCTATAGGGCACGGGGCCCTTTCGGAGGCCGCCCACCCCCAATTCATTTTATCTACGGCACTCAGCCTCCTAAATTTCCGAAGAGGCTCACAACAGGTTTTCCAGTTGCCTGGGGTCATGTACTGGTGGGTTAAACCACTAGTACCTCCGAGCCTGTTTTTGTCGAGCCTGAATTTCACTGCGCTCCGAGTTTTGCCTAGCCTGGGTCCCACTCTATTTTCTTCCTGGTACTCTCACAGAAAGAACAAGGAAAAACAAAAAAGATGAAGAAAAGTTGCCCCCGTGAAACTCACAAAAGAAGAAAACAAAGCTTTGGTCGGGAGTGCAGTTATATACATTCTTGGAAGTGGTAGTGTGAGTGTGCGGACAGAACAGCCACTAGGCCAAAGACATGCTCTTATAAATAAAGATACTACGAGCCCTCTGCCCCATGTGCGGTACTGGGACTGCAGCGGACTATGCTGCTGCCACAGCTATTGAACTAGGAGACCACTCGTACCGGCCTTGTATTCACACTGGGACTGCAGTGGGCGGGGGCTGCCGGTATGGCAACTGTACCAGGCCTGGATCTGCACCACAAGAGTTGTTATTGGACCTGTTGCTGGTCCTATTGGTACCAGACCAGAGGTCTGTTCGCCGGGTCTGGAACTGTAGTCCGGACCAATAGCTGGTACCGGGGCAGCAGTTGGTACTAGGCCAGCAGTCGGTACCCCTTCCTTTTCGAGGGTGGGCCTGCCCGTGCGGGTGCCAGCTCTGCTGGCAGCTATACAAGCAACAGTTTTGACTTTGAGAGGGGGAGTTCGCCGAGGGCAAACGTCCGCGCGCATGGCGTACACCACCCACGGGGAAGAGAAGTGGAGAAGCGAGCATGGAGGAGATTCAGACAAAGCGAGCGTTGTAGTGCATGCCCGGTGTGCACAGCCCACCCTCGCTTCGGTCAACTCTCGTTTGTATCCTTTCATGGGTGTAAGCGTGAGAAAAGGGAAGTGATTTGGACATAGCAGCAAGGGAAAGTGTGCCCGGTGTACGGAGCATTCGGTCTGGCTATTGCTGACAAGCAGCAATCAGCTGGCAAGAGGTAAGTGAAGAGGGAAGCAGAGTGAGAGAGAGTTGCAACGACATGCTTGAAAGGGAAAAATGGACAATTAGGGAGGAGTGGGTGAGAGAGAGAGAGAGAGAATCAGGGGGACAGAGAGACTGTAAGGGCGCAAATGAGAAAGAAAGGGGGAAGAGAGCACAGGCCTGATTTCATGATCGTTAAAGTAATGCACTTGGTCGTGGGCGTGGTCAGGTTCATGTAAGCCTCAGTCAGGAGTGTTTGTGAAAGGGAGAGCGAGCGTGAGTTAGTGAGAGACTGAGTGAGAGAGAGAGGGACTGTATGCATGTGCATGTGGATGAATGTGAAAGAGGTTGAGAGAGCGAGCAGGAGAGACAGTGCACGACAGGTAGTGCACCTATGAGAGATGGAGAGTGAGTGAGGCAGTGTGTCCAAGAACGGGAAAAAGTCTGCTATTGAATAACTAAACCCCTGTCAATCTGGCCAATGTGGTCAATCGGGTGATTACAACCGTTGACCGTTTACAGACCCTCAGGCGGACTGCGGCCAATGAGGTAGATGAGGGTCAATCGACAGACTTCAGCCATTCGGCAGACCATGACGAATAGTGCCATAAAGCCACCCGAGCAGATCCTTCTTTTTTTTTTGGGGGGGGGGGGGGACAAATGCTCCAGTCTATTTGTGGGGAGCAACATGTGCTGCTTATCAATCAGTGAGGACCAGTTCTCGCTCTAACGGGGTCATATACATTCACAAATGATGGTCCCGCTGCTCTCAAAATTCATTTTTCCTAAAAAGTTTAATAAGGACTGCTTTGTTTCCGAATATCACTGGTGTTGGAGGTAAGATTCACTCATGATGAAGACTGCAACTGCTCACGAATCCAATGCTCTCTCCTAGGTAACAGTGACATGTCACCAATGAATGTTGAGCTTGAGTACTAGGGGTGCGCACACGCACGAGAGGAGGGGAAGAGAGAGCGAGGAAGCAGCCTCAAATGCCCGAGTACCATTAACCCTGGTTGATCGCAGACACAATCAAGAGGGTGCGTGAGCGAGTGGGTACAAGTGTGTCAGTGAGTGAGTGTGTGCGTGACGCTGCAATGCTGACAACAGCATCTCCAACAATGTTCCCTCGAATACAGCACAGGGTTCATTGAAACTAACACAACCTTGATGACA